GCCACTGCCGGGGTATGTCGAACACGGGTCGACCGCTGGCAGCCGGGTGTTGGTACAGAGGCAGCGCACTCCCTTGGCCAGCGCCCGGAGCCGCCTGGAAGAACGGGCGGAGAACCTGTGAGCGTCGTCGACCCCGCCGTTGGCAGCGTCCCCCACTCGCCAGAGGCTCCAGGCTGCGCACTCGTCCCTTCCCCATCTGCCCGCAAGGGGTTCCGTCATCGTCCACGCGTGCGCCTGGTCGCCGGTTGGTTCCTGGCGGGGGTCGGGCCGGGACTGTCAGGCTCCCGACTGTGCCTCGACTTACACTATCGTGTGCCCCTGTGGTGTGGCGCACCTGCCTGGGCCTGCCCCGACAACGGGCAAGCGAAGGGAGACGGAGTGAAACCTCGAAGGCGGCGCTCTAGTCCTCCTGCGGCCGCAGCTGCGCTCCGCGCCGCCTGGTTAGTTTTGTCTGCCCCACGCTGCTCCCCGGACAACGGCAGCCCGAACACCCACTCGTCCTCACTGGCATCTCATGATAACTCGAAAATTAAATAAACCCATCGCAGTCATGATCCCTGCACTACGCTCCTTCCTCCTCTCCAAGAGGGACCTGCCAGACCCGGGGCTGCTCTGCGCGACCCCTGCGTGCACACACGCGCGCGCTTAAACCATCACGCCGCATCATCCCAGCTCTGACATACACCTGAGGAAACTGATGGCACCGGGAGAACCTGTGCAAAGTCACGCAGCAAGGACGGGGCAGAAAGGCGCTTTGCTACCCAGGCAGGCGGCTTGTGGCTCAGTTGTTAAACCCCCGAAGGCCGGGGCGCTCGCTGCCCGCAGACGGCAGAGGACGCTGCACTGGGAATCCTGCTTGGAGACTTCCTCATTACCCCTGTTGCTGCCCTGTGGTCCGGGGACACCTGAGAGCCAGGCAATGGTGGAGTGGGTTCGCGAACCCTGACGTCGTTCACAAGCAGCAGCAGCTAAAAACCCCCAAACCGCTGCGGAGCGTCCCTGGTGTGGGAGCGGCCATGGCCTTGGCGAACACCATCCGTGCCTGCTCGCCTACCCAGACGCATTCAGGCTCGCGTTTCCCCCCAGGAGCTCGTTTCTGCGCGGTTCCTGGACTGCCTCCCGCGGGGAGGGAGCGCGGGGGCGGTGCAGACAGCGAAAGGTTTGCTAATTAAGCACCCCAGAGTTAGACCTGGACTCCGCCCCTTCTGCCTCGATGGAGCTGGCGTTCCTAACCGAGATCTCCCGGACCTGGTGCGCCCGGGCGGACTCACCCGGGAGACGCCCTGGCGACCCAGGTGCCCCCCCTCCCCCGCCAGGCCACGGGGTTCCCCCAGGCGGAGGGCGGCATCTGCGGCCCCAAACCCCGCCTCTCGCTGCGTGGCGTTTGTAGGCGGTAAGTTGCCTGCACCCCCAAGGGTTGCAGGTGAAACAGCGTCGAGCGTCAGGCTCCAGGGCGCTGGCTGACGGTTGTCCCGCAGCGGAGGGCGGGCCTAGCTGGCTGAGGCAGAGAAGGACGCCACGCCTAAAGCACCAGCCTCAGCCAGGTTGCGGGGCTCACTGTCGGTGAATCAGGGAGTCACGGGACTTTTGAGGTTCCCGGAGGCCAGCAGGCCAGGAGATGCTTGGCGTGGGAGAGGAGGTGTGTTACCCACAGACGCCCAAAGGAGGAGGTGGCAGCCACCCCGTGAGGTCACAGCGGCCAGTGTCTCCCCGCTGTGGGAGGAATGAGGAATGAGAAATTGGGCAGGGGCTTTCCTTGTGCATCCCAGGGGAAAAGAACGCAGGTGAGGCAGAAGAACAGCAGCGTTTAGGATGGCTGCGTTTTCCACCACATGATCGAGGTATTAGCAAATATGTATCACGCTAACAGCCACGTGATGTGTATTTAACTCCGCCGTTTGGGGGAGCCGGAGGTCCCGTGAAGCGTGTGTAACTCCACCCCGGCACTCTTCCCCTCGGGAGACGGGCGTTTTCAGGTTGCGTCAAACCCAGGAAGACAAGACCGGGCTGCGACTAACGCGCTCCCCACCACGCGGAAGCGGGCGGCACTCCGGCCTCGGGCACGGGCACTCGACCCCCGAGTCGCAACGAGCGGAACGTGACAGGCGAAGGCGGCATTTGCGCGCGGCCCGGGAGCACGGCGCGTTCCCCGCGGAAGGACGGGTCGGCTTCCGCGAAGGTGGGTGCCCCTGCGCCGGTTTGTTCCCAAGGAGACGCAGCCCTGCTCCGCGGACAGTGCTCTCGGGGAGGTGGTGGGCGTTTGGCGCGGCTTCGGGGACCCCCCGAGATAAGCGCTTACCCCGACTTGCACCTGCGCGCTAGTCGTGATGGAGGGCGGCCTGCGCGAAGAAGGAAGGAGGCGTGCGCTTTTCTGCTCGTTAATTCTTTCTTGAGTCCTGCCTTGGGGTGAATGGCGGTCTCCCTCCCTCCTTCGCCAAACTCACGTCTACCTGGCAGGTGCAAAGGGGAGCTCATTTGGAAATAAGGTGTCTGCAGATGCAATTAAAGATGAGGTGGTTGTAGATTAGGGAGGGCCCTAAACCCAGCGACAGGCGTCCCCGTGAGAGACACAGAGGAGACTCAGACACGGAGGAGAAGCCACGTGGAGGCAGACGGAGGAGGCAGAGGCGGGAGTGAGGCTGCGGCCACAAGCCCAGGGACGCCCGGAGCCCCCGGGAGCCGGGAGAGGCGGGAAGGAGCCTCCCCTGGAGCCCGTGGAGGGAGCGCG